GAGGGAGTGGATGATGGTGGGGGTTGGGTAAGGGTAAAGAAATAGAGTGGCGTCCCCTGGAGGATCCAGCACAGCCAATATTTATTTCCTTGATTTATGTGGCGAGACGCTTGCAATTACAGACGGGCCTAATTCAATTTCTTCCACCAGGCCTGCTCACATGGAACAGTGCCACAGAGAACTGTAGGCTGAAGGAGGGGCAGGGATGTGGGTGCACTAAAAAAGGAAGTTAAATTTCAAGCTTGCACCAAGGAAAGTGAACTCTAACTTAGAAAAAACCTACATAATTGACGAATGCAGTATGAAATTTGGGTCTAGGCTATTTCAATTGCAGGTTCAGATAAGTTTTATAATATTTACTCTGGATCCAAGTTATTTTTCAGGAAGACACCTGGTAACAGTACTGTCACGATATACAAGTGGTACAAATCTTTGTCTTCTTGTTTTAAAAGTAGCGCACCAAAAAATAAAAAACCTGTTACTTCTTTAGATGAGTTAAATGAGTTAAAATGAACAAATCCAAACTACAACTGAGATATTTTCTACATGTATAAGATAGGGTTTACTGCTGATAACAGGAGACAAGCATACAAAGGAAAGTTTAGGAGCGGTTGGAGAAATTGGTGAAACTACAACATGTACGTGCGTGGTTCGTGGTGCAGCTGCAGAGGAGGCTGACACACCAGAGCTCCATCGGCTCATCATGCCTCCCCTGTATTGAAAGTGCCGGGACCTGAGGTGGTTGTTGTTGTGTGTAGGATGCAGCTGAAAAGCCTTCACAAAGCCCCACATTCAACTCTATTGAAAAATTTGTGGACAACGCTTAAAAGCTGGATTCATGGCAGGAAAGCAGCTAATTTAAACACACTCAATTCTGCCAAGAGTGGACAAAAAAAAACTGTTCAAGAAATCATTAAAAGCTCAAAATTACTGACATTCATGATGAGTGCTTGAAAACTTTTGACCATCGTATAGTTTCTACAGACAACACAAAAGGTAAGAAAAAACTATTTTTCTGTGAATGACCTCTTATTCAAAAGAAAGGGAGTCTTAAAATGGTTCGAATGTTTAGTGTGAGGCTTGGCATTTCAAATAGTCCAGGACTAATTTATGAATCATGGCAATTTGTGGCTTCTGCATCTGTGTCTGCAGACAGTGATTCAAGCAGTGGACACAAACTTGAACACATGCTACAACTGAGTGTGTGTGTATCGAAATGTTCCACAAATGTGCAAAAGAAAGCATGCTGGCAAACCTTCTGATGGCTAAAAAAGCTTCTTTGTTTATTGTGTTTGGTTGGGCTATTTGAACAAGTCAATAGCAGAAAACAATCTGTGCAGCCACACAGCAATAACTGAGCCATAGATGTGGAACACAGTAACATCACGACACAGCGCACACAGTCTGTATGAAATGAGCATCCAATTTATTCTTTTACGTGTGCACCCAGACTCTCGATGACCGCTTGCAGACGTGCAAATGCAACAAACATACCATCTAAACTTACTTATCATAGTATTAAGAGTTGCATGTTACTTAGCAGTAATTGTGCAGCCTACCTCTGTCTGTCCCTTGTACAAATAAGACACCTTGCGCACACACACACACACACACACACACACACACACACACTTTCATACCCTGACCCACAGATCATTAAAAAAATTATATCAAATATATGATAATAAAATAATTAATATAATATTGGATCTATTATATTTGTACTGTCAAAATGAAATGACATTAGTCTCATGAACTACATTAGCAAAACTAGTTTACTGGCAACCGTTTGCTAAAAGGACTCAGCCCATGGCTGTGGTGTCTCTCAGTCTCTGATGCATCACATGCCAAAAAAAGGTCTCAGTTTCCCCCAGTAAAAGTAGAACAAAAAATATTAAATAAAGATTTCTATTTCTATTCTGTAAAACAACACTGTGCCCAATGTCTGTAGCTGCTACTGTCACGGCTGCTAGGTGCAGGGAGCAGCATTTGGTAAACTAGACCGTCCAACACTTCCAGCCTTCAAAGGACAGCCTATGCAGCACCTTTATGGGGACACACGTAAGGTCTTCGGGTTCACCTTAGCTAGCTAAACTAGACACAAGTCACTTCTAGTTCTAAAAAAACAAGACAGCGGTAGCAACAATGCTAAACTCAAGGCTAAATTAATTCATTAATTAAAAAGAGTTTTGTCAGAGTCAGGGGACTTCATAATCTACAGTCCTTCTACATAGAAGCCTTGCAACTGAGCAGCCATCTTGAGCTCTACTGGGTCAGCTACTTTGAACGTTATATAAATGAACTTCAGGTCCATTGGTCACTCATACAAAAAGATTGCACATATAGAATCTGACTTTGCAATTCTCCCGTAGATTTGAATTGTAGATTCTTTGTGTCTCTCCCGCAATGCCTCTGCTATATTCCACTTAACCCACTTAACTCAAGTTAGTCAGAAAGCCAGTCAATGTGGAAGCACTCTCCCTGCAAGGCTCACCTGGTGACCTCCTATGCTGAAAGGCTGCACAGACCTGTGCTTGATTCTGCCCGGGACCATTAACTGTGTGTGACTCTCCCGACTTTACTGTCTACCCTATCCAGTAAAGGCAAATATGCCCAAGAATCATAAAACAGGGAGAATAGGTAGCATAACATTTCAAAATACTTCCACTCAGTACTTTGATATGCAAATTAAAATGCTAAATGTAAATTCTATTGTCTTATTTGATTTTACTGTGTGAGAAAATGGGCAACGTGCCTTTAAAAATGTGTTTGTTTGATGAAAATCTCCCAGCAGCAGCAGCAGCAGCAGCAGCAAGGGAGGAAGACAGAGAGCTGTGCCTCCTCGCTCCTTCATATTTGGATTTTCTTGGCGCCACTAAGAGAGATAAATGTGCTGCTGTTCCTCCCGCTCTGCTCTGCTGTGGACAAATACAGATCGTCCTGTGCTTTTCTCCACGCTGCTGCATGGTCTGTGGTAACACGAGGCTTTACAGAGGGAAACAAAGGCAGCAGAAATGAATTGAGTCCAGCTGCTGTATGGGGGCCCAACACAGAGTGAAATCCACGTCTCTGATTTTAGAAGAAGATAGAAACAGAAAGGAGCCACAGCAGGCTTTAGGCACTTTGTTTTTCTGTCTCTCCTGCAGAAGAAGGTTTGAGAGCTCTCCAAACTCTCAGACAGCAGACGCTATGTTTACGCCTAACACGGCAGCGGTGGTATGAGCTGAGACGAGTTAAGTGTCAAGCACTCTTGCGCACTCACGCTCAGTTATCTTTAATGCTCCGCTACCGAATACTCTCAGAACCGTGCTGTGCGCTGAACTTACAAAGTAATCAGGGTGCTGCTGTCCACACGTGTAGCTTGAATGAGCGTCACGGCCTGCACAGTCTCTCTGGAAATTAAATTAGCCATGAAAGCTGTCAGTAAGTTCCAGTCAAAGACATTCATAATCCATCTATGCATATAATCCACCTTGAGCTGTGTACTGGGAGAGTTTCTTGGAATGAGCAGAGGCTGGAAACAAATCACTCCGAGCAAGAATCAGCGCTCTCACACGTTCACCTCTGCTCACACAGCAGCCAAATTAGATTTACATCTTTCCTGGACTGAAAAGAGCCGAGGAGAAGACCGAGACCTAACTGCTCTGTGGGTAAAACGTTTTTTTATACCGGTGATTTCCACTGATAACGTAATGGAGAGGTAAGCAAGCTTTCATTTTGTTCCTTTCGTATGCCAGCTGAAATAACAAGAAGAAGGATATGGAAAAACTTCAGGTTATAATATACACTGGAGATTAATTTTCTGACTGAAATCTCTCTTTTCCTTCCGCTGTCCAGCCTCTGCAGAGCAGAAGCCTCACGATCTGAGGTGAGAAAGAGTAAAAGATTAAGCAGTGAGTGCTTTAAAACCTTTTTGGCCACAGTTTTGCCTGTTGGGTACAACAGGACCATACTGTCAATGAACGTCTGCGTTATTCCTGAAACT